CAAGATACAAGGTAAGGAGTGTGCCCCTCCTTCATTGGTGAGCCCGACGAGCCGCTCGAACCAGCGACTCAGTCAATTTTGTGAAATTCTTTGGATTATACTTGTGCAGCAACAACGACGATGGCCGGCTCTCAGGTAAGTGCTGTTGCAATTAAACTTCTGACGTTTTGTTTTGGACATCAGGCCCTGGGGCCTGGTTCGCTCAAACGGAAGCGCAGTTCGCTATCCGAGGAATCAACAAAGATGACACAAGGTGCCAAAGTATTTCCTTGTCGTTGCCGCCTTGGACAACACCACAGCCACAAGTGCGCTCTCAATCATTACGAACTCCCCCCCCCAAACAACAACAAACAGTCTATAAAACGTTTTCTCCTGTCCGCGTACGGTCTTTCAAATACGGAAAGAGCAACTGCGCTGTTCAACTCCACTGGTTAGGGAGACACAAAACCTAGCGAGCTAATGGACTCCACGCTGGCCCTACTCTCCTCACACGAACCTTGTTTTCTTTTCAACCATCTATTTTTGAAACAACTTCCAGGACAGACCAGGACGTCCCCTGCAGCACACGAAGGTCTTGACTGTCGCGCTCTGGCACAAGAAGCCGACAAACTCTTTTTGTCTCTTAACTCCCGTCGCTAGTGTTACAACTCAAAGAAAAACCAACGCGGTACCACGCCCCTCCCTTGTGCCGGTATCACATCGAATTCGGCAAGCAAGAAGGCAAAGAAATGTAACCCGCCTTGCGCTTTCATAAAGATGTACTCACAGAACCAGGGAAACGCCAAGCTGGGTTAACAGTAGCCCGTTGCGCTTCTTTTGGCCCACAAAATTCTCAGCTTGTTATCACAGACGGGAATTCAGGGCGACGTTTTCTTCGATACTGTGGCACAGGTTTCAGTCACTCCAGCAACATAGCAAGAGAAAAGACAAGGTAACTCAGGGCCACCGTTAGTAGCAGCCAACGGCACCAACATTCCAACCCATGGTCCGGGCAATATATCCATCAAACTCCACAGCAGGTGTTTACCCGTAAGACTCGTCGTCGCGGACGTAAAACACTCGGATTTCCTTCGCCAATACAACTTTTTGGTGGATACCAGAGGCCAACAGTTGATTGAAGCAGAGACCCTAGACATATCCTTGTACAATAAGCAACATTCCGTGTGCACAGCGAGCCCTCGTTGATCCTCAGTGCAATAAATTCCTGAAAGTCCTTTCGGAATTTCCTCCACAAATCTTACACCACACCTTCTCTAGTTTAGTTTAGTTTAGTATGGGGTTTTACGGGCTCGCAACTGCATAAGCACCTTCTCTGCATCAGAGGTTCAGAGGTGAAACACGGAGTATTGCACCATATTATTATTATACCCACGCCAGAGCACGCCGCCTGACAAGTTACACATTGCGAAAACAGAATTTGCGAAAATGGAAGAGATGGGTATCATCCGCAGGTCCAGCAGCCCATGGGCCTCGGATACTCAGATGGTTCCAAAGAGCAACGAAGGTAGGCGTCCTTGTGGTGATTACTGCAGGCTCAACGACTGCACAACGCCTGATCGTTACCCAATCCCGTACATTCAGGATTCTTCAGCTCACCTGGCAGGCAAAACTTTTCTCAAAGATCGACCTGGTTCGGGGATACCTTCACAACTCCATCGCCCCAGGGGAATCCCAAAAAACGGCTGTCATAACCTCTTTTGGTCTCTGCGAGTTTCTTAGGGCGCCATTTGGATTGAAAAATGCGACACAAGCATTTCAGCGGCTTATAGATTCGACCCCACAAGACCTCACTTGCCCGTTTGTGTACTTGGACGATATACTGGTCGCAAGTTCATCTGAAAGAGAACACTTGGGCGATCTCCGAACGCTCTGTCAGAGACCGAGAGATGCAGGTCTGGTGGTGAGGTTAGAGAAATGTCTTTTTGGGGTACATGAGATTTCCTTGGTCACCGTGTCACTGCCTCAGGATCAACCCCTCTTCCTGACAAGGTCTGGACCATAGAAGACTTCCCGCAACCCAACACGGTCACAAGCCTCCAACAATACTTGGGCATAATCAATTTTACCATCGCTTCATCCCTAGCGCGGCAAAGATTATGACCCCACTGTATGATGCTTTGAAAGCAGGAAGGAAGCAATCGTCATTCTCTTGGTCTCAAGAAATGTCCAAAGCCTTCCAGCAAAGCAAGCGAGAACTCGCAACAGCTACCATGCTGTCTCACCCCCAGGCCGATGCCGAAATTGCATTGACTACCGACGCCTCTGACCAAGCTGTAGGATCTGTGTTAGAGCAGTACACTAATGGATCCTGGCAACCTTTGGCGTTCTTCAGCCGACGCCTTCGTCCAAACAAAAAGAAGTACTCTGCTTTCGACCGCGAACTACTTGGCCTCTACTTGACTGTCAGACATTTTCGTTTTATGCTAGAAGGCAGATGCTTTACGGCTTTCACCGACCACAAGCCCTTGACGGCTGCTAGGTCCAAAATTTCTGATTCTTAGTCCGCACGCCAACAACGTCAGCTCGGATACATTTCTGAATTTACCACCAACGTGCAGCACATCTCAGGTAAATCCAACGTTGTTGTAGACGTCTTGTCTCGGTCCATTCTTAAGGTCACACTCAATTTTGACTACAAAGACCATGGCTACTGCCCAGGACAATGAAAGCATACAGGCACTTCAGACGACCTCCAGGAGCTTACGTGTGGCGTCTGTACGTACCGAACCAGGAGGCCCAGAACTATTTTGCGATATCTCCACTGGGAATCCAAGGCCCATAGTGCCTCCACAGTTTCAGAGGCAAGTGTTTGATGCCATGCACAACCTCTCGCACCCAGGAAGAAAAGCAACGGTCAAACTCATCTCTTAAAAGTTCGTTTGGCGAGGTCTACGCAAACATACTGACAAAAGAGCCCAGGATGTGCCTCGTCTGTCAAACCTCCAAAATACAAAACCACTCCAAAGCGCCTCTTTGAACATTTCCTGTTTTAAAAAAAAAGATTTTCGCACATCCATGTAGATCTGGTTGGACCATTGCCCTCATCAAATGGTTACACGCACCTTTTCACGATCATTGACAGGGCAACACGTTGGCTCGAAGCCTTCCCACTCCAAACCACTCGTATAACAGCAGACTGCGCCCAAACCCTCATCAAGAGATGGATGGCACGTTTTGGTGTCACTCAAGATGTCACGTCTGATAGAGGCCCGCAGTTCACGTCAGCCTTGTGGACTGAAATTGCATCATACAATCCACAGTCAAATGGGCTTGTAGAACGTTTTCATCGAACCCTCAAAGCTGTACTGAAGACACGACTCAGTGGACCACATTGGGCGGATGAACTGCCATGGGCACTTTTGGGGCTCCGCACAGTTCCCTAGGAAGACATTCAAGCTCCCGTGGCAGAGCTCGTCTATGTAGAGCCCCTCACTGTGCCAGGTGAATTTTTCCCTTTTCCAGAGGCAGCAAAGGCATCGACACACGCTCTCGCTACACTCCGGGCACGCGTTCAGAAATTTGCTCCAAAACCAACGGCTCGACATCGCCAAAAGTTTTCAAATGTCCCGTCTTCGCTGAAAACATCAGACTTTGTGTTTGTTCGTCGTGACGATCGACAAAAGCCACTACAAGGTCCATACACTGGACCATACAAGGTAATGGTTTTGGACAAGTCTGACAACACTTTTTGTTGGATATTGGCGGACGTCATGAACATTTCTCCATTGATGGGCTGAAACCAGCTCATGTCGACGATTCTGAACATATCCAGGTTGCCCCAGGCATGGTCGGCCTTCTTCAAAGGCATCAGAGTGGGTGGTTGGCGGATGCTCTGGTGTGGTTTGCTTCTTCTCTCCCATCAAACACCTATCGTCCTTATCTCCCCTCCTTTTTTATGTTTGTTATACTCTCTTGTAACACCTCTAATCTTCTGGCGCGCATATGACCTTATGCAGTCGCGAGCGCCGTAAAACCTCTACTAAAACTTAAAAGGCCTCAGAGCCTCATCCGTCCAGAGCCAAGGTCTCACGGTCCGGAAGACCGTTGAGACCGCCTCGCCGTTTCAACTAAGGAACCGTCTTGTCGGTGCTGGTGGAGGGTGGGGGGGGGGGGGGGGGCTGTGTAGCGGCCACGGGCCTACATGTAAACAATGACCTCGCACCAAAGCCGCACCTAATGTTAGGCGTGGCTTTGCCTCGCTCTGACAAGACAACTCCTGACTGACCCGGGAGCTGAGCGGGACTCACAAGGAGCTAACCAGCCGCCCAACTTGTCGGCCATTCAAGTCAACTACACACAAGACAAGACACAAAATAAGGAGTGAGCCCTATATGTCCTCTGACCGTCTAGAGTGTCCGCTAATTTTTTTTTTTTTTAAAGTGTGCCCCTCCTTCACGCGGATATATTATTAATATTATGTGTGTATGGAAGGAGGTGGGGTGGGAGGGGGCTTTGAGGGTAAGTGCTGCTTTAAAAAAAATGTTTTTTGGTTTTTTTGGTTTTTAATATAGATCTATCTGGAGGGAGACTTGTTTCTTTGTCGGTACTGGAAGCCTGGTCCCGTGTCCTTTAAGAGAAGAGGTAAGTTCAAGACTGTGCATTTAAATTCAGCTCTTGTGACCCACAAATCTTGCACTTGGCTTTGGGAACAGGAGAGAAAAAAGGGTAGGGGTAGAGAGAGAGAGAGAGAGAGAGAGAGAGAGAGAGATCGAGAGAGAGAGAGAGAGAGAGAGAGAGGGGGGGGGAACGGAAATGAGAGAAAGAGAGAGCGATTGGGGAGTAAGCGATCAAGAAAGAGAGAGAGAGAGAGAGAGAGAGAGAGAGAGAGAGAGAGAGAGAGAGAGAGAGAGAAACAGGGGAGACCATAAGAGGAATAAGAAACCAAACCTCTGAAGAAACCAAAGCTCTTTTTCATTGTGATATCCCTTGCTGGACGTGTTATTGTCAGAGAATGACAGAGTGGCCTCCCTCCCTTATTGTTTCCAAAATGGCGTCCTCAGGTGGTGATGATACACTGGAATACGAACCAACGATAAAAAATGTTATTGAACAGACAAGCCTCAAATGGATATTTGTTGGTGGAAAGGGCGGTGTTGGGAAAACAACGTCAAGGTAATAGGCTTTTGATCTTTTTAAATAGCTTGTAAGTCCAGACTGTAGCCATGAGGTGGCAATGCAGGATGTCACCTTTTGCCCCAGTTGAATTGTTGACAAACACTGAAACACGCGTGTTTCTAAAGTCTAAATCATGGACGGCATGCTGCTTGTAATGCACTTGTTTTGCATGCTTCCCCTCAGCATTCAAATACATATAGTCTAGATAATCTAATCTATAGATCTAGTTGTCCCTAAACAGTGTTTGAAAAGCCTCCTCGCCTCTGGCGATTTGATGAGGCCCTACTCATCAAGTAGCCTACACAGTCCACATGCGATTAAACCTAAACGTAGAAAGACGCAAACTATTTTTAGGTAAGGCGCCCATCTTGTTTGACGTCAGGCCAGGATATCCCTCCGATCAAGTGACTACATCTTAGTATAGTATTGCCAACGAAAGTGGCTCTATCCTCACCCGGGGTGAGAATAAAAATACCATCGACCTCCCTCACCCCGGGTGAGACTTGCCAGCGTTGGCTATTCTCACCCGGTGTAAAACAATACCTATTTTTCCTTATTTCGGAATACTGTCTATCGGTGTGGATGATCAAATTGATAAAAGCACAGAAAAAATGACGTTATAGCACAAAAGTAAGCTAATTTGATCGTCTACAAGATACTACGGCTATTTCACTTTTCGAATTGAGCCGAACTACGCGGGTCGCGTTTTTGTTTTGCCCGGAAGTTCTCACAAGATCTACTCCTCCCCTCTCTCTCTCTCTGTCTCTTTCTGAATACTGTCTATCGGTGTGGAAGATTAAATTGACCAAAACAAAGTTTAAAAAATTATTTTAAAAAACACAAAAGTAAATTAATTTGGGAAGTGGCTATTCTCATCCGGGGTGAGAATAGAAAAACATCTGCCTCTCACCCCGGGTGAGACTTGCCAGCGTAGGCTATTCTCACCCGGTGCGAAACAAGACCTGCTTTTCCTCATTTTGGAATACTGTCTATCGGTGTGGATGATCAAATTGATCTGATAAAAGCCAAGAAAAAATTACGTTATAGCACAAAAGTAAGCTAATTTGATCATCTTCAAAGATGCTATGGCTATTTCACTGTTCGAATCGAGGCGAACTACGCGGGTCGTCATTTTGTTTTGCCCGGAAGTTCTCGCAAGATCTACTCCTCCCCTCTCTCTGTCCCTTTCTGAATACTGTCTATCGATGTGGACGATCAAATTGACCAAAAACAAAGTTAAAAAATGATGTTAAATCACAAAAGTAAATTAATTTGGTTGTCTATAAAGATGCTACGGCTGTTTAACTTTTCGAATCGAGCCGAACTACGCGGGTCGCCATTTTGTTTTGACCGGAAGTTCTCGCGCTACTCCTCTCTCTCTCTTTCTCTCTCTCTCTCTCCACTGCACACAGACAAAATTGTACGCTTTTAGTAGGCTACAGTTGTAATGGGAACGTTTGTTCAAGGCACAGAATTCTACAATTTTTCTGTTATCACAGTGTAGAATTCTGTGGTTTAGGGTGAACGCAAAATTTGTTGGCCTAGATCTAGGCTATATCGGTGAACGCGCACCGGGTGAGAATAGCCAAAAGACTCGCCTGCACTATTCTCACCCCGGGTGAGAATAGAGGTGGCCATTAATTTGGTTGTCTACAAAGATGTTACGGCTAGATTTAACTTTTCGGATCTAGCCGACGCGGGTCGCCATTTTGTTTTGCCCGGAAGTTCTCGTGCTACTCCTCTCTGTCTCTTTCTCTCTCTCTCCACTGCCCACAAACAAAATTGCACGCTTTTAGGTTAACAGTAGTAATGGAACGTTTGTTCATGGCACAGAATTCTACAATTTTGTTATCACAGTGTAGAATTCTGTGTTTCAGGGTGAACGCTACACTGGTTGGCCTAGCTAGGCTATTTATATATATAACGGTGAACGCTCACCGGGTGAGAATAGCCAAAGGAAGAGGCTAGCCGTACTTAATGACGGCTAGACTGGCAGTCTAGCCGTACTTAAGTACGGCTAGAATGGAAGTCTAGCCGTACTTTATTCTAAATATGATGGCTCTAGACTGACCATTTATAAAAAATAGGCCTACTGAATTTTTAAATATAAAATAAATTTTAGTGTGCAGTACCTAAAGTATTTGTATTTTGAGACGAAACCAGGTGCCTTAATGACAGTGCATGTATTTTAAACCTCCTGTTTTCTAATGTTAATAGGGCCTAAGATAAGTACGGCTAGAACTGGCAGTCTAGCCGTACTTAAGGACGTGTAGACGGCCAGGCTAGCCATACTTAAGGACGGCTAGACTGTCAGGCTAGCCGTACTTAATATTGATGGCTGAATTGTAAATGAAATTTTTAGTTTGCAATGCCTAAAGTATTTGTATTTCAGACAAAACCAAAAGGTGCCTTACTGACTTGCATGTATTTGAGCCTGAATAATTACTAGATCTAGATCTAATGAGACCTGTGTACTTTTATTAACAGGCTTGAGTCGATAGGGCCAAACCTAGAACTAAGTACGGCTAGACACTTCGATAGCCAAAAGACTTGCCCGGGATGAGAATAGAGGTGGCCATTGCCAACCGCATGGCACCAGAGATGGAAGTGTCTAGCCTATATCAAGCTTAATCGGTGCTTTTTCTGTAGTTTCCACCCCTCTTATTTGAAAATGACCTACATCTAGATCTAGATCTATACGTTTGATGCGTGGCGAGCTAAGATATCAAACCTAACAACTGCAAAACATTAAATTGTGGTAAAATTCAAGCATGCCCCCCCTAAAACCTCCCACAAAGGTCAGGGGGGCAAGAACCCCGCTCTACTCGAATAACAATTGTGGGATGGGAACTACTGAAAAAGCTCCGCTTAATCTACCCCTCGCTGTCGGAAGTTCTGATAGCCGAATAGGCAGCGCATCTCTGCGTTTGAAGTCATGCAATGATTTTATGAGCGCTTCGATCCCGAAGTGACTATTTCTCTGAACGTTCTGAGAAATAGTGCCGATCATTATATCTCTGAACGGTTTCCGGCTTCCAGTCTCGTGATTTTTTTTATATTTGCGGAGTTCGACACCAACTTTCATTCTCTGCCATTCTTCGAGGTCTGGGAAGGAGCAAATTTTTGGGTCTAGATCTATTTATTTCAATTTTCAAGAGTTAGTCTAGAGATTTTTAAATGAGTGTAAAAACGTGAAAAAGAAAGGTTTCACAACAGAATGAAATCAAAATTAGAACAGCTCATAAACAACCTCAAAAATTAACAAATAAAGGGCGTGTGTCCACCTGTCCGAAGAAGATTGGCTGTTTTAACCCTAAATGTGCATTATTTTTTTTTAAAGTACAGGATGTAAATTATGGAATCACACACAAGGGGCATGCCAGTGTCAGTACATGATGTAATCGGTTTTGGTGGAATGCTCCAACATAACACATTTAAATCTATATATATTATACATTAAATATTTATATTGAATCTAATGAAGGAAGGAACATCAAATTAAATGACGTTACACTATACAACATCCCCCCCCCTTTTTTTCCCCAACAAAAAAAAAATAATAGAAAAACAACACATCAGAACAATAACAAGAAAAAAAATTTACACACCAACGAAATACAACACCACAAAGAGGGTAAAATAAAAGAGGAACAATACAAATCGTATGTGTAACTCTGTAACATATTCAACAAATCAACGTGGTGAGAAAGAGACGAAGTGAAGCTAAGTGAACTTTCTTTCAAAAGTAAAGAGGTTCGGTTTCTTTTTTTTTTAAATTTAACTTTTATTCCCCGATTCAGGGACCAAAAAATGACAGAAAAGCCACGATTGATTGGTCGTGACTGCGACAAACGCAGATGCTAGTTCTTATGTGTCGTTGTCAGTAACCCTCCGTAGATCTAGATCTAGACAGCACATGAGTGAACACAACACATTAAGTTTAAGAGCAGCACCCTTCATAGGCAACACGTCATATCTGTAGCGAAAAACTGTTTGGAACTGTAGCATAATATAAATATTTACTGCGGACATTTTTTGGACCGATTGAACCATATTGTATACGAACAATCTTTGGTAGGCCTATAATATAAAATTATAGATCTATATCCGAAATTTGCGGGAAAGGATGTGATTTCAGAGTGTTTGGAGAAATAGTGCCCAGCTTTTTTTTCCCGAACGTTTGGGGAAATAGTGCCCAGCTTTTTTTTTCCCGAACGTTCAGAGAAATAGTGCCGGCCATGATTTTATGAGCGGTTCGATCCCGGTCCTGGACAGGTTTGGTTTTTTTCTCTTGTCCTCCTCCCGCCTGACCAACAGTTTGTCCCTTAAATTATTTGTTTCTTTGTATATTTTTTTTTTAAGTATTAGTGATGAAGAATGCAGGAGGGGTGGGGGGGGGGGGTAGATCTAGATCAAGATTCTAGATCTAATCCTCCCGTGTCTTTACGGCAATTTTCGTGCGGTTTATTGTCTTTGCGTTTACCGTGTTTCAATTTCAAGCATCAGCTTTCTGTTAATCTTAAGTATTGTTCTAAGCATCAACGATCTAGATCTAAGTGATCTTCTATCATGTCCAAGTACTAGATCTAAGAAATCCCAGTAGCAACAGCAATGCCCACCGAGCACGTTTTGTTCTGCCGATTTTTGGGCCCCGCCGCGGAGGTGTTTCGTGGGATGAACTAACGCAATGGTTGTTGTCTTCAACTCGCTCTCATGCTGCTTCTCGTGAATGGATATGAATGAAACTTGGCAGCCAATCAGAAAAGAGGTCAATCTCGTAGTATGCAAAGATTGACAAGTGTGTACCCATCCAAGAAGCAGTCAAAAACGTTTGCGAAAGTGGTTGATGTGGTGCGCTTCGAAGATTTTTCGGAGCTGTGATTTGTCGAACTGACTGATAAATTGTACACTTTTTTTCTTTATTCCCTTAAAATTTCATGTTTAGCGGTTTTTGCGTAATCTTTAAAAATGTGGGAGTAACTAAGCGAAAAGCGGCATTGCCATTTGCGCGTGCTGGGTGAACAACCTGCGGCTGGGAAAATTCCACTTGAGTGACGTCATCAGCCATCAATGGTCGCCTCGTGCGGTACAAACAAGGCCTCGCTTATGTGAACTGGACAGGGGGGAAGGATACTTGAAAACTAAACGGGGGCCTTGATAACTTGCATGTGTTGCATTTTAGTCACAATACAATAGATGTAGTCATTTTTATTTTCTTAATTAATAATAGCATGCATTTGAGAAGAATAGAAACAGAAAAGCAAGCATCTTTAGAAGTGGTACGGCATTGTGTTTGCGTATGAAAGCCTATTGCCCCCTCTTGAGAAAGCACACACATGGACTTGTCCTGTTTGCTCTGTTTGGAAAAGTGAGGCAGTAAGATTGTTATTAAAGAGAATGCTACTTATTTAGTCCAGTCTGGGAAGATAGTCCCGTTTATACATTGTTATCGTGCGCGTGCATGTGTGTGTGTGAGAGAGAGAGAGAGAGAGGGGGGGGGGGGTCTAAATATCTGTTACATTTTTATAGTATGAGTTGTAACCTACACATATGCAAAATATTTCCATGACTTGTAAATTATATTATAATCTAAACGCATCTTAATCTACCACACAATAGGACAATGTCCAACAATGAATATATACACACAGAGACGATCTTATTTTCTATTACAAAGTGCTCATATATACTTTTACTAGTAGAGAACTGGATTTATTAGACTAATAAATCCAGTTCTCTTTGTGACAGATTGATCCAGACCATTGCTTGGCAAGGTAGGAGGAATCTTTTATGTTGCCAAGTTTCATTCAAATATGACCTTGGGAGAAGATATATGACTGGTAATCTTTGTAAATCTGTATAGAACGCCACTTTTTTACCTGTAAATGTCTTTACAACTCGAAAAGTATGGTAGATATTAAAAGTCTGACAGCATCATGACTAGATTCTGCATTAAAAACTGTACTAGACTGCCAAGTTTCATTTACATTCCTAAGAAAAGGGCGAGCTATGACAAATATTGTCTCAAAACACACAGAAAACCGCAACATTTTTACCTATAAATGTCTTCATAACTCAAAAAGTGGGATAGCTATCATGAAAAATCTGAAAGCAGGACCAGATTCTGCACTAGAAAATGTACTGGGTTCCCAAGTTTCATTTACAATACTCCGAAAAATGAGTGAGTTATGACGAATATTGTCTCAAAACTCATCAAAGAACGTCCCATATTTTGGTTTTTTTTTAAATACTTAAATGTATTGCAAACTAAAAATTTATTAATTACCATTATTTTCAGTAAGTCTATTTTTTGCTGTTTGTCGATCTAGCCTAGCCGTCATAATAAGTACGGCTAGCCCAGCAGTCTAGCTGTCATTAAGTACGGCTAGCCTGTTAAGTAATTGTGTCTTGACACAGTGGAATCGGGCGCTCGTCAACTTTGGGGCATATATATATTATATGGAGCTATTGTGGTATCATCTTTAAGCCTGTCCATTTGCTTTCCTTGTGAGGAAAAAAATATGGGGATACAAGTCAAGATATTGGCGATTGAAAGAGGTGGGGGTCGCCTGGTTTCATAGGTAAATCTAGCGAAAAAATGGCCACTAAAGTGAGTTACGAGGGCTGTCCCACGGAAACTGGAATTTGGCTGTAATTTGAAAACTATTCAATATTTTCACATTCTGTAAACACTCACTTGTAATACAGTCATTTAGAAATTTCCCGATTGAGCACCATGAGCATCACACAAATAAAATGAACACATCAGATCAGTTCTCCAAAGATGGCTACGCCCTTGGAAAATTGGTCAAGTGTAGAAGTGAGGTCTGTCATTCGGTTTCTGACTGCAAATGGTCTCAAATCTATAGAAATACACTCTGAAATAAAGTTTCAAAGTCGACTGTCCATGTAGGATAGTGTTTGATGAGCTGCACTATCAAAAGGTCTCTGCTCGATGGGTCCCCAAAGAGGAGACAGCTGACAACAAGACGCAACGTCTTGAAGTGTCTCAGACTTTGTTGAATCGTTGTCGCCAAGCTGTCACTGGAGTCATGAAAGCATCTGGAGACCTCCAACAATACGATGAAGCATTCCTGAGAAGCATTATTACAGGAGATGAGACTTGAATACACCACATGACCCCTGACACGAAGAGGGATTCAATGGTTTGGAAGCACACGTCTTCACCTCCCCAGAAAAAGTTTAAAGTTCAGCCATCAGTGAAGAAACTTATGACCTCGGTTTTGTGGGATGCTAAAGGGTGTTGTTATGCTTCTTGACATTCTGGAACCAGGACAGACTGTTAATGCTAACAAATACTGCCAGACTCTTGAAGTTGAGAGAGGTTGTGCGCTGAAAAAGACCAGGCCGGTTGTCCTGTGGGGTCATTTTTGCAGCATGACAATGCAACGCCACACACCGCAAACGCTACGAAAGACTGAATCCAAGGGCTCGGCTGGGAAGTTCTACCACACACCCCTCACAATCCTGACTTGGCACCCTCAGATTATCACCTTTTTGGACCATAATGAAACACCATATTTCTGGACAGCGATTCACCGACGACGAAGACCTTGTGGAAGCCGTGAAGGATTGGTTGAAATCAATTAATGAAAAATTCTTCAGGGAGAGTATTTTCTTCCTGATCCAGCGATGGGAAAAATGCATCCAGCGAGATGGTGCTTACATTGAGAAATAAAGCACATGTTGAGGTATGATGTGTTACATTTTTATTATAATAGGACAAAGATTTTTCCGTGGGACAGCCCTTGTATTTCCTTGGCTTGAGAATCCGTTAAAACTGAAAATCTACATCTTTTCTCTACCTTTAATCAACTTTTTTCAATAAAATAAGTAGGCTGTCAGTAGGCAGTAGGCCTCGGACCTTTCTTTGGTCTATCTCTGATTTCCACTTTCCAACGTTCTACCAGATTTGGAGAATTCGAGTGAGTAATACTCAGTTCAGTTTATGAGTCAGATTTGTTGACTGCCACTTTTCAGAACGATTGATTAAATATTATGATTATTGTATTATAATTTATTTTTTTTATTCCATCCAGTTGTTGTTTGGCGGTGCAGCTTGCCAAAGTGAGAGAAAGTGTACTCATCATCTCCACTGATCCGGCTCACAATATCTCAGATGCATTCAGTCAAAAGTTCTCAAAGGTTCCGACCCTGGTGCAGGGTTTCAACAACTTGTTTGCCATGGTAGGTTGTTTTATTTTTATTCTTTTTTTTTATCAATGGAAATGAGAGGATAAAATAAAAAAATTTCTGTCTCTTCTTTAGAATGTTATTTTGTATAAGTTTGTATCAGAATTCTTAGGTCCGGAAATAGAGTGAAAGCTGTTCCTTTGTCTTGTCTTGTACAAACTGGTATTTTGTAAAGGCCTACATTTGGTCTAATTATAGCTTTCTTGTCTTGTAGATATAATGTCATTAATCAATAATCTCCGGTTTTGGCCCCAAGAGTAATGAAATATCAATAATAACTTAGTATATGGGGCTAGGGTTAGGATCAAGAGTTAAAGTTAAGGGTAGGATTGTAGGTTAGTAGGGTAGTTTAGTTGGGGCCAAAACCAGATTATAATCCCCATTGATCATGGTGGGCTCTAGTGTGGATGACCCTGGTTCAAGTTTACTTTGGGGGGGGGGGGGGGGGGGGGTTAAAATTTGGTGTTTGAGGAGTTAAAAGGCTCAGGCTGGCCTGAGGAAGAATCCCAACTCTTTGCCTTGCAGTTTTTAATGAAGTTTAGACACCCCACCCCACCCCCCAACCACCACCACCACCACCATACTGACCTGATTTGATGATAGTGAGCCGGGTATGTGATCATCATATAGAGAGGTATGCTTGAAAGGCTATGGAAATATTCATTTAACAAGACCTTTTCATTGTTTTTCAGGAAATTGATCCAAATTTAGGATTCTCTGAACTCCCAGACGAGTACTATGAGCAAGGTTTGTGTTGCTCATGATGCATCTCTAGAATTTCTTGAGTCCTTTGCTGTTTGCTGTGGTGTCATTTCTGTTCCTTCAAGATTGAAGTTCTGCTGTTTATGTTGGACTTTCTATAAAACAATGTTTGTGGTACAAATATCATGTGTCTTTTTGGTTGTTGTTGTTTTACCTTTAAAGTGGGAATACTCAGAACTAAGTTTGAATGTATAATTTTGTCACGTTATATTGGGTTGGTTTTTTTCAATATCTTAGTATGCATGTGATATATTCTCTTCTAATACGCCCTTGTAAACTAGACAGTTAGTGTAGCGATATTGTAGGCCTACCTTACAATAAGTTACAACACTTTGATCCCTTGATCAAGGAGATTTTGGAAAAATAAGTGTTCTATTCACTTACGTAACATCTTTTACTTTCATAAAGCATGTCCCAGTTGAATTCAGTTGTGAATATATATTTATTAAAGTAAGAGTACCCCTCGCATTGTACTGCATGTTTTCAGCTGACATGATGTCTATGGGGCGAGGAATGATACAGGAGCTGCTTGGTGCTTTCCCCGGTATCGATGAAGCAATGAGTTTTGCTGAGGTCATGAGGTAAGTTATAAGAAAAATTAGTAATTCCATTTAACCCTGCTGGACAGGGTGAGTAAAAACTTCATAGTTACTCATTTTTCCACTGATAGCAATGATACACTACATTTAAATAGTTAAGAAAAAGATGTGGGTCCACCTCTTAAATGCCCTTACAGTGTTGCGAGATGGGTTAAACATATACAGTTTCAAATTTCAATTTCAGAAAGGTGTGGATAAGTATTCCTCATAATTCTTGTACTTTTGCACACAAAACCAATAACTTCTTTTCTTTTTATTTGCGTTACTGAGTCTAGTCCTTGAATGTAATTTTTGTGTACTTTTGACTGAGACAGATGTATTTTTTAAATAAAAGTAAATGCGATTTTCTTCTCCAGACCAATGACTGTTCATTGCAACTAGTATTGCAGCCTGAGATATTGAAATGAGCATTACGTTTCTTTGGGGGGGGGGGTGCTGGTTCATTAA